ATTTGATGTAATCTGTGTATCAATTTATATACTTAATAAAGTTTTGCATCTAATGCCCTTTTACGATAAAAAAAAAATATATATATATAAAAAGTAAAGATAAAATAAAATAGAAATGTTTTAGAAATAGTAAAGGTACAATAGATACAACAGATGCTGAAGGTACAGTAACAGATATGTAATACAAAACTATTCTAGAACAGCTAATATTTCAAGGATCAATGCTAGTAAAAATTGGACAAGGGGTATTGAAGATCTTGGGCAAAAATCAAGTGTAACAATATAAATAACAAATACATATATAAATATATATACAATCAAATAGTATATAGAAATAAAGAGTTTGATTTAGTTTTGAAATATAATTAATCATAAATAATAAATAATATTTAAGTATAAATTTATATTAATATATATAATCTTTCTAGCTCACTATTACAAAATAATATTTTGTTTGAAATTTAATTATTTATACAAACTTTTTAAAAAAACATTTTCTATACATCATTATTTTTTTTAATATAAATACTGAAAAACATTTGCTAAACAATTTACTAACAAAAACTTATTCTATATCAAACAACTTCTCAATTTTAATAATAAAAAAGTTATAAACTGGCAACATATCTTAGTCAGAACAGAATACAATATTCAAAAGAAAACTACTCTTTGATACAATAATAACAATTTAATTAAAAAAAAACAATTTCTATCTAATCAAATAAAAAAAGAAAATAAATTGTAACTTTTACCAATAACAATATAATCATTAATAAAAAACAAACAAAAATAATCTATTGATTAAACATTGAACATTTGACAATCAAGATTCTTAATACTTTCAAAATATAATAAATGTTTCCTTAATATTTATCCTAATATATAAGAATACAAACTACTTATTTCACTATTTTTTTTTATATTTTTAATTAATTATTTAATTTAATTTAATTTAATTTTTATATAAAATATATAGCCACATAACTTATTCAATATTTTTATTAAATTGGCTATAAATAATATACTCAAAACAAAAATAACAAAAAATAATCTTTACAACTTCTTACAAATCAATATAATTATAAACAATTTGCAAATAATTATTTTACTAAACCTATTTGATTCACTCAAAAATAAATACATTTTTTCTATATTTTAAAAAACTATTAAAAATCTTTTTGACTTTTATAAGTTTTTACTTGAACATTCAAACTTAATATTAATATTATTACAATTATTTAAAACTATATATAACACTACAAATTATTCACTATACATTTCAATTTCTAACTATTTCCGGTTTTACTTCACATAATCATAATAATACTGCTTAATAACAAAACAATAAGCATTATAATATTTTCAAACATATCAAAATCACTAACAAAATCTTTTTATCATCATTATTTAATTATAGAAAAATATAGAAACTTCATATTTTCAATAATTACAAATATTTATAATATAATATAATTATTCAAATTTTTTTATTATTTTATAAACTTATTGTAAAAATACTAAAAACATAATTTATAAATACTATTTTATTTCAAATAAACATTATTAATACATTTTCTATTCAATATATATATATTAACAAAAATACAAAAAACTCTTTACCTCTAATTAAAAACTTTCTTAAACAAATTAATAAAATACTTTGATTAATAGAAATAATTTACTTTGAAAGAGCAAAACTATTTTTTAAACCCAATTTATTACTTCTTATACATATATCAATATTTTTTAAAAATACACATATTTTAACTATACAATATCAATTTAAACTATATAACTTCCATTTTAAAAATTTTTTAATACTCTTATTACAAAAACATATTTCTATACAATTTCTTCAAACATATATACTAATGATTTCTGTTGCAATACAAAACAAACACAGAAATAACTTATTATTTTTGGATCTGCAAAGAAAACCTAATAATATTTAAAAAAATAATCAATGATATACAAATATTATTAAAAAAAAATTCAAAAACAATAAAAACTTTGACAAAAAACAAATACAAAACTATTAAATATTAATATTTACATTATTAATTTTGTAACAAATACTTTTTAATCAAACTTTTTCAAAAATCACAACCTAATACAAATTGATTTCAAAAACATCAACAAATCCAAAATAAAATATTTGTGCTACTATATACACAAATATGAATATTCAGAAATTAACAGAAAAAAAATTTTTAAACATATCACAAAATATCAAATATAAAAAAAACAATAACAAACTTTACATTATATGAAAAAATAAAAAATATCAATTTAACAACTAACAATATAAATCAAATTGACAAACTAACCAATATCATTCTTTAATTATTTTTTCAGAATTTATTCATAACTCTATAGAATAAAACAAATCATTAAAAAAGCATTAGCTCTCCAAAATTAAATAATTACTTTTTTTTTTCCTTATTGCAAGATTTTTTATTAGAAATATATCTAGAACAGTAGTAAATTAATATATATAACAATATATCTTAATATCTAATATTAATTATATAATATTCAATTACTCTATTATTAAAGATCACAAAAAATACAGTATCTCACTTAACATTAAAAAAATATATAAACCTATACTTTATATTTAGTATATCAAAATAAATTTATAATTTGTCTAAGAGAATTAATATTAAAAAGATTCTAGATTAGTCAATAAAAAATTAAAATATAAAAATAATTAAATTGAAAACACATCTTAAGAATTAAAAATTTATTTTATTGTAAATTAAAAGGATAAAAAAAATATAAGCTTGTTAAAAAGTTTATAACAAAAAGCAATATTTTATAATATAAAATTTATTAAATTTTCTATTTTTATAAAAACTATATATAATAATTTGTATTAAAAAATATTAATTTAAAATTTGATTAAATAGATAAATTAACTATTTGAAAATATAAATATATCAATATAAAATAATTTAAAATATCATATAAGACTTATGAACATTTTATAAAAAACAAGAAAATTTTATTTATAAAATAGTAATAAATTTAATATTAAAAAAAAAAAATTTAAAATTAAATTATAAATTATAAACTATAATATCTTACAAATTAAATTCAAAAATAAACTTATTAATTGATAAATAAATATAATAATAAAAATATAATTATATAAAAGTTAAAATTATTATTATTAAAAATAAATATTTGAATTTATTATATAATTTAAATTAATAATTTAAAATTTTTTTATTTAAAAACTTAATTAAAAGCAAAAAAAATTTATAATTATATATAATAAGTAATAAAAAATATTAAATAATAGTAAAACTTGATTATTTTTCAATTTTTTAAATATAATTATAATAAATACTATATTTTATAAATTATTGTTATTTGAATACTAAATTATAAAAAAAATATTTAATTATAATTTTGATAAATAGTTTAAATTTTCATGTTTAAAAAAGTTTTATATTAATAAAAAAAATAATATAATTACAAATATTTTTATTTAATATAATCATAACTTTTTTAATTGTATTTTTAAATTAATATCTAATTGATTTGATTTATTAATCTTTATTTTTAAATAAGTATTTATAATTATTTGATAATATTTAATAAAATATATTGTTTTAAAATTTTTTCAATATTAATTAAATGGTTTTTATAAATAAAATAGTATTTAGCTTATTATATTTATATATAAAAGATATCATTTATTTTCTAATATATTCTTTTATTATATAAATCAAATAAAAAATAAAATTTATTTGTAAAAAGAAAAAAATTAGAATACAATTAAATAAAAATATACAGAATTAATAAAATAATTTAAGTTTATAAAAAATTTTATTTTTAAAAAATATTTTATGATTTTTATAAGATATGTTAATCTGAAGAATTTACAATAAATTTTAATTATTGGATATATTTATTGATTAATTGTATAATTAAATATTATTTCTTTATTTGATTTATATAATAAAAGATATATATCATGAAAGAAATACCATTTTTTATAATATTAATTAATTGATTTTTTAAATGAATATTTATATAATTGGATAAAGTAATTCAAATCTTAATTATAACTTGGATATTAGCTTATATATGGCCATGACACTTTTCTGTAGTTAGATATCAATTATTTCTAAGTAGATAGGTATTATTTAAGGTTTGATATGGGTTTTGAAATTCTTTTACTATATTCTTAAATAATAATTAGGAAGATAAATATTTTTGTGTTTTGCATTAAGCTCTTTTTAACAAAAAGAAGCATATACCATTCTAATATGTTATAATTTTGTTTTTAAAATTATAATACAAAGTAAAAGTGTGATAACTATTTTGTTTTTTTAAAAAAACCATTGAATAAATGATAAAATGCAACAAGAAAATTTAATTTCAGCTGGACGAATTTGTAAACCATCTTATGCTATTCTTGCTACATGAATTAAATATTTGTGAAAAAAATAGATATTAATCTAATTAAAAAAATGAGGTAAATTTCTACTAAATAAGATTTAACTTGGTAAACAATTAGTTTATAATGCACACCTAAACAGTATATTACTAATTGTTTAATCACACCATTGTGTTAATAGTTATGTAAATACAAAAGGAGGTAAGCAAGAGAGGACCAAAAAGTTTGAGCTTAGAATTTAATAACAAGTTTTTATGAAACACAGAACTCCCGGGTTCTATTAATTTAGCAAATAAAGTAGGTGCATTTTGTTTTACCGATTTTATTATTTCACCGGCTAGATGAAAAATCGGTTATGAGAATTTAAAGAAATAAGAAGTTGTAAAAGCTCATAATACTTACTAGATTGATCAGCGCACCGTTTTTCTATTCTTTGAAGTAGTTCTACCAATTGCAAATCAGCGACTTGTTCTATAATTAAAATACTATAATTAAAATTTTTTATAATTATAAAATTATTATTTAAGCATAACCATACCATACCATTCATATTTAAATTTGACGAAGGGTCGGATATGGTTCCTACAAATTAAGAAAAAAAAAAGTTAGGTATTGAAGCATATTTAATGTGAATCAGGTTAATACTGTACCAGAGTTTTCTAATATGTTTTCGAAATTAGATGAATTATGAGGGTGATCATCACAACATTTTTCCTCATTTTTAAATACAGCCCCAGTGATCATTATTTCTTCATTAAGTTTTTTATACACGTAATTGGCATTTGGACGTTGATTAGGATCTTTGGCCCAACATTTTCGATAAGTCTCTATGAATTTACATGGAGTATATTGTATCGGTTTCTCTCTTTCCCCTTTTAATAGGGCTAAGGAAAGATTACAATAATTCCAATCTTTAAATGGTGGTACCCCACTCGATATCTCCCACAGTACCACGCCCAAACTATATATATCCGATCTTTCAGTAAAATTAGCATAACTATTTTCACTCAGAACTATCGGATCTAGAAATGCTATTGAACCTTGTACTACTGAGATCGTCAAACTTTTACGAGATAAATCTTTTGACATCCCATAGTCGGTTATTTTCACCTTAATTTTACTAGGATTTTCATCGCACGCTGATAAAACTATATTTTTTGTATGCTTAAAAAAAAATATGATAGATACATAAATTCTTGTACAAATTACATAAAAATCCGGTAGATAGTATGCTCTTACCAAATCTCTGTGTAAAATGTTATTGACGTGTAGAAAGCTTAGTCCACATGCAACTTGTCTACTAATGCCGATCTTTTGTTTCCATGTAATTTCCGAATACTTATTCGTTAAATATCTACGTAAATCACCTAACTCAGCACATTCTAGAACCATCACATAGCCATTTGATACTAAAACATTAACGAATATTTATTAAATAGTATCTAGGTATAATTTTAATATTGTGTATAAATATACCGTACATACACCGACTAAATAATTCGAATGATTAACAGTCACATTACCAAAAATTTATAAAACATTTTAAATTAAAATTAAATATACATACCTTAATCCATAGAATTTGGTAATATTTTCATGAGTGCCTCTTAAATTTATCGAATAATAAACCTTGAGCTATAGATTTTAGGTTAGTCAGTTATAATATAAAGCACGAAAACATCAATACATACTTCTCGAATAACCTCAGTATGTTCTGTTTCATCCGACTTTTCTTCTATGAGTTTTAAAACAACTATTGCTTTTCTAATCCCGTCATTCCATGTTGCCTTTTTAATTTGACATGTGCTTCCATTCGTTATATGTTTTAAAACACTGAATTCATTACAGTTGATATCCTTTACGCCTCCTTCTTTTAATAATTTTTCAATCCATAATTTATTTTCCTCGCCTTTTCTAGTCATCTAATCATTTAAATTCAAAGATTTAATTAGTTACTAAGGAGATAATAATCTTATTTTAAGGTACATACGCCATGTCGCGATAAAGCGGCCGCTTGGTTCTTCGTATTGGTACATTCCGGATGAGTCTTCTGATAATTACAAAGGTCCGTTGGTTGATCTAATGGGTTTTTGTATTGTAATGGTTGAGATTGGATAATCATTTCAAAAAACTTTGATATTGATTCCATGAATATACCACCCGTCAAACGGACTCTTTTATTTATTATAGGAATGCATCTTATTAGATCATTTGGTTGTTGCACAAAAATTTATCTTTGGTTATATGTTACATTACTTGGTCGAAAGCTACCTGTTAGGGAATTATTCATCAATCATGTGCCTTTGGGTTGGGAATGAATCCGAATTACTTCATGATACCTTTTTTTATTAACCATTTAGGGCAATAAAGGCGTCGATTTTTTTGTCCCGAGGTTTTTGTACGTCGGGCAATAATGCATATCATGTGATTTTGGTCATTTTTATTGGTTAGTAGTCCAGCTTTCGGATCTTCTAATACATGATTGTTGAATTTTACGTAATCTGAAACAATGTAAACAAGATACATGTATATGGGTAATTATTTTCGAAGGCGGACCGGAAATTTTCTGGGGTGATCCTAAAATTTATACTATATATGTATT